GAAGCATATTTTTATTATTGATTGAGAAAAAAAATTCTATGATTATTGTGCTTATTTGCAAAGCAGGATATTTATATGAAAAAAATTCCACACATCACAAATTCAATATATTATGAGATAAATTTTGATATGAGAATATTTCTTTTTGAGCATCTCTTACCTTATTCTAAAAATAAAGATGGACGTTGGATGTAGATTAGCAGTGTGTCACTTCAATAATTCTAGTTTCCAATTATGTATTCTTTCTAGAAAATAGTATGTATTTTTTCTCTTAAGAACATTAAAGCAGGTGGAATTAGAATTATATATTTTGTGTACTTCAGGTCTTTTGAATGACAATTAACAGATGCAAAGTCATGTAGTTGTATTTTTTTTTTTTTACATCTTGACAATGCCAATCACCTTACTCTCTGCCTCTTCACATATAAAATAATCCTTTTTGTAAATTCTAAAACTTGAAAACTTTTTGAATGATCAACCCAATTCATAGAGATTTCTTTCAAATTTTTGAAGAATTGTTTTTTCATTCCTTCACCAAAAACTTTCAAACTGAATGTTTTCATCAAATCCTGACGAATTTAAACTTAAAAGATTGAATTTGAAATGTATGCTTGATTTAAACAAATTTTCTACTAGAGCATCTTTTTTCGCAAAAATTCTAGATTTTTTTGATTTTTGAAATTAATTTCGCTTATTATCAATGACTCAGAAAGTTGTATCATTGTGTATTTTCCTATGCAATGCAAAAATTAAATTATTTTTGAGTTATTTCAGTATTTTGAATAATAGATATAAAAAGAACTTAAACAATTGGAATAGAAATTAACTGATGTTCTAAAGTTTTTTTATGAATACTAAATGCAATAGGTTTTAAGTTCATTCACTTGCTTTCACATGCATAACAAAAATTGCATAAAAATACCTATTGATGGAAAAATCATAAATCGATCCACTTAAAAAATTTCAATATTATTTTTCTTCTGAAATTGGATATTATATATGGATCACTTTTTACATCAAAGGATTATCTGTTGATCAATTTTTCACCATAATCACTTTTTATATTATCAATTCAGATTGCATGTAAAATTTTCATAATTGACACCAAAGGTATTCATGAATTGTGCGGATGTTATCACCTTGAAATTTATTCTTATTTTTATTGAAATTCTTTTCTGATAAGTTCTTAATTTCCTAATTTCTGATTTTTTTTGTTTTGTTCACTTTTTTTACTGTGTTTTGATATTGATTATAAATATTTCAAATAAAATTTCAAATATTACTTCATTGCATAAAAATTTTTCGTTTCTTACTAATTTGATTTATATTTATACCAATAAATATATTTCAGTATATGTGATATTTTCGTTTTTAGTTTTAGGGTGAGTCTATATCATTGATTATTCAAAAAATTATATATGTGGATTCTCCATATCAATAATATCCATCAATTATGCTTGTATTAAATTATAAGTATGATGTACTCGAATATTTTTTCAATATTGGAATAAGTTTTATACCTTGACGATTTTTGGTGAGATAATTTTGTGCAATAAAACTGCAATCAAAGTAATTTCGTTTTATTTTTTTTTAATAACTTATAGGTAGAATAGTATACTACAATATGGGTCTCTCAGAAATCTGCTGGGTAATCCATTTGATGATTATTTTCTATAAATAATTTATGAATAATTTGGACTTAATGTCCCTAAAAATATTTCGCTACTTTCAATTCTGATTATCAACTTGTTTATACGGTTATAATTTGAGATTATAAATCTTTTCTACATTATTTTAGAAGTTTTCTTCAAAGAATTTTAATCTGTAGACGTGGATGTCTTAAAACAAATCATCTAAATTTCTTAAAGGCAAAAATATATATGTCTAGATATAGAGTTATTTTTTCATACTGAAGTAAATGAATATCAAAATTTGTTGTCACTTTTATTATTCTAATCCCTTATTATGAAGACTAAATACTGTTCTGAGCACTCAATCCTTTAAATCAAATAAAAAATGATGTGACTTAAAAAGTAATCAGGTTGACACACTTTACTTTTTTTTTATTTTAATCTTTGAACACTTATTATTCTAGAATAGATTTTAAGGTTTCTTTGAAAATAAATTAAAATTTATAATATTTATTTTTTGGAGATAATTTAGAACTAGAAAATCAAAATAGAAAACTTTTACATAAAAATCTTGTAACTGAATAGATGTTTTGAGATATCAGATCTGTTTATCAAATAAGAAAATTTGACCAATTTTAAAACGAGATATGTCTTTGAATGAAGGTGTTTATTACATTCAGTCAGCCTCAATTGATGAGAGTTCAAAGTTTTCAAAATAAATCAAATTTGAAAAACTACAGTAACTATTAATTGATTGTACTTATGATAAGATATTTTGCTCAATTTTTTTTATGTCATGAAATTATTTAGCATTCTGAAAACTGAATATTTTAGATTTTCAAAATGAACTTGTGATTTAAAAAAACATGATACTTTGAAGAGAAAAGGTTTTTACACAATATTCATATAAAAAACTGTTCAAAGTGATGAAGATCCGAGAAAGTTGAAGTATAACATCATTTTTTGGTGAAGTTCAAAAATCTTGATTTTAGTTGGATATTTATTGGATTTTAGTTATTTAAATTGATTTTTTTGAACAAAAGCTAAGAAATCAATTTAAATAGAATTCGCGCTTTGCAAAAAAATAAAAATATACACATATATTTTCCCAAATAACTTGAGAAATAAATATTAATGATATAATTTTAAAAATCTCATACTAATAATTTAATTAAAATATTTAAAATATTATATCATCAAAATGACTACACATTTGAAATCATGATCACAAAAAATTATATATAAATCATCATAAATTGCTAACATATTAATATCCTAATTTGGTTATCATCAAAGTCATTGGTGAAATTTTAAGGTTTCTAAGGGTCTCTAGCTTAGGTTAATCGAATCTCATTACTCAAAGGCAACAAAAATACAAACTAACGTTAATATACAAATTGAGCTCTTGGCTAATTATGATATTCCGAAGATAAGTTTTTAATCAGAATTTTTTTATGAACTGTGATTTAAGTCTTCAAATTTAGCAGCACTTCACCGTTGACCGTACCAAACTTTGACATGGTTGAGTCAATCATGATGTGGCTAAATTATTGAATCAACCGAGCTTGGTCGAAATAACTTCATCAATTCACGGTTATGAGATTATGATGTTTTAAAACACTTACTTGAAAGAGAATCGGGAGCTGGCAATGGCGGCCCATAACAGACAGTCAAGATAATATCTTACAGCAGACAACAGTTTGGACTAGTAATCCACAGCAAGTCATAGCAGCCTCGTGCCATGGACCTCAATACCTTCTTTTGAACGAAATGTCTGGATGATTCTAGCTTGTGAAACTTAACTGGTAGAGAAGATATGTCCGTTTCATGTACGTGAATGCATCAAGCACCGACGTTGAAAGTCTTCTATGTCAGCACAGCGTCTAAGACTTCGCCTCGAACGTTGATCAGATACAGAAAATTAATCTCCATGCTATATGACTTGCCCCATAGTGCTTGCCGTTATGGACAATGTTACAGTTCGAGTGAAGTTGTACTCAACAGGTGTGCGTGAAGAAACCGACAAGGTGCAGAATATCAATCAGGGGAATTGGAAACAGGTTTTGGCATTCTGAGGTCAACAATGTCCTGCTCTGTTCGGATTAATGGTGCATAGCCTGATGAGACGTTCAAACTAAACAATGACGTACGCCATGGTTTATAAGTCAAGACTCATGAAGTTTCCATGATCAAATCTTGATATTTGAAAGCATTGAAGGTGAGTTTGTTTCTGCTCTTGTTCAGGTAAGAAAAGTCACAAGAACATCAATCCAGCGCTTCATCTCATCAGTCCCTCTCAGGACCGAATTTCTGTCATTTATTTATGATGTATCTGTAAGAATTCTTTTTACCTCGTCTCCTGAGGATCTTTCGATCCCGGACATTCATTCAAAGCCGATGGACCGGAAGACTGTCAAATCGACGTGAATTATGTTTGGATGAACGTCTGAACTTGAAGTCCACGAGGATAAAAGAGAGGATAAAGGGACCATGAGCAGGCAGACTCCTGACAAAATCTCTGCAACTGAGCTGTCGGAAACTCCGGTGTGGACTAAACAAGTCATTCTACAGAATCTGCAGAATTCTCAACATCTGGAACTCGCAAACCTTGGCATCTCTTTTGGAAATCAAAACTCGATTAGTCATAAAAATAATACCACGAGCATTTGCAGTGTGAAAGCCTATGACCTCTTGTCTTTTATCTCTGCTTATGATTTCATAAAGAACACCACAAAAGTTGTCTAATCTGGAACAGAGTAAGAAACCACGTTAATAAGAACCGAGGACAATAGTACAACGATACAAGGCTTGAATCTAATCAGGCCTCCATCCCAGAGGGAGTTGAGTATATAAGCAAAGACATGCAGTCTATCATTCTTGAATGTTGTCCAACTGGGGACCACCATTTGCAACTTTTGATGATCAGATCTCAATATTTTGAGTAACGGCTCGAATGCTCGTGCAGAAGACAGTGAAATGCCGTATCTTTGGACGGACTTATATTTGTCTGGACTGATAACAACAAACTCTAAGACTTCAAATGATGAAAAGCAAGTTGAACATAACTAGGTAGTATTGGAATTCTGCACAATTCCGTTCGAATGCAGGACTTAGCTCTCTCGATCTAGGATTCATCATTGAAACCCGAAGTCTAACCTCTCTGATGGATGTATACACCTTGAAGTCGGCTCAACGCATAAGATCTTTACATGCATAGTGATGCAGACACGTTTCTAAACTAGAAGCTAAACGTTATTGTCGTAGCTTAATATTATACGTCAAGAATGGAACCAGTCTCTCGCGAGGGTACTCAGTTGACATCAGAATCTTTTTTGCAAGTTCTCCACCAAGTCGATACCGGGCTAGACTTAATTCACTAGCGTTGAGGCGACACAGGTTGTTATAGGAGAGCTTAGAGAGACTCATACCAGGTAGCTTGAATCAGACCTTGAGTCTTTACGCTCTCCCACATCAACCTGTGCTGCCCAAAAGCCAATGAAATATTGTATCCCTTGAAGTTTCGGTCTCACAAAATTGGGCACTGTCTACAAAAGACAGAACACAACCTCTGATAGACAGGTGTTTCAAAGACAAAGACACCAGAAGTACTATTCTCAAACGTAAATGGTGTCTTCGTGCTCAAGTGTCCAAGAGAAGCAGGTCATGCAGAAGCTCAAGAGCCAGTTGGCTATATGCATAGCGTACCCTGACAATATCACGATTCTGCCTCACATCTGTTGTGTGAACTGCAATCCTCAATCGCCTATGTATACTGGCTCCATTCTCAGATGGTCTTCCAGTCCACAAGACTTCTTGCTGAGCTACGTATCGGTCACCAGCAATCCCGAGTTGTCTTCGACGTTTCAAAATTCAATGGATTTTTGGTCGTATCTTGACCATAGCCTAGAGCCTGGATGGTAAATATAGCAACTATAGATTGTTGCGCTGTTAGGATCTCCTTGTCGGGACCTGCTTGATGCTATAAACAAATTATTTCTTGCAACCACATCTCGAGTATAGATTCGAGCATATGAATTTAAACTCTGTGTGGGTGCTCGGGGAAAAGCAAATGTAGGCAATCAAAATACCTACGAAACTTGACTTGTGCTTAAGAGACAAAACATAGCATGTCTACATAAGAACTTCTGAATAAGTTCCCATGATAATGATTATCCTCACAATCTCCGATCATTTTCATATCTTCTCACTTGGAGTACCGAATTTCGTACCAGGTCTTGTCTTACATGTCGCCCTTCGGTTCTGCAAGTGAATTTCAGCTTTCTTTATCTGACATCCTCTTAAAATAGGCCCACAAGACGTAACCAGGAGTCTCAAACACCTGTATATAAATAAACATATATCGAGTACCATGATATGCACAGTAGGTCATCATTTGTATTATATCTAGTGTAGTGCTCCCTAACGTCAGTAAGATAGTAACACACTTCCCTGCTCACTCAATTACCGGACAGTGTGAGGAATCTTACCTGCTTCAAATCTTTTTGGTCTGAGAAAAACGTGTTTAAATCCTCTTCTCGGGTACTGAGAAACAAAGCAATACATACATCGTAGTTCCTACGATGATCATGTATGCATAATTTTACCTGGATCCGATAGACAATTTATACTTCCTGTAACAGTACTACGCCTAACAGCAGCTCTGCCTTCGACTTCCTAGCAGCAATTTTACCTCCTTCGTCACCATGTTGCCAACAGTACTGTTTTGAACTGGAGCTCGAGAGATTCCGTTTTTACTTTTGAGAAAGCTTCGGTCAGAACGACGTGTCCACGTACATAACACCAGATCAGATAAGCGTCCTCAAGCTGTCCTATAACGCGAGGAGCATGGTCTTATTGTAGACCGCTCCCATCGTCCTTGTAATTTGCAAAGGATCTCTTCAGATGATCAACTTCGTTTCTTAACGTCTACTCAGCTAGTTTTTCATTTCCAAGAAGTACATGCCTGAACGATTATTAAGGACATAGAGCTTCGATCGCGTCAAATTCAGAGGCAAAAGCTTCTCGGAAGAGAACCGAACTTATCACAGAGTAGATCGACATTTCATGAGAATACTGAGGTATGTTAGTTCTCACAATTCTCACTCATAGTTTATCACTCTGAACCCAGGTCATTTTAAGCAGACCTAAATCACGAAGAGATGGCACGAGACAGCGAGATTAGCTACACCTGAATGGAGACCAGGTTGCTACTAACAACAAGTTTATACTGCAGTTATTATACTGAAGGATCAGACTTTTTTTAATTTATTAAAGGTTTAGAAGGAACCATCAAGTCTTACAGGGAATTTGAGTAGTAAGTACATACGTGCAAAATGTTGTTATCATTGGGAGATATCACAGTTTTTACGAGATGAGTTAAGCCGTCGTTCTTGTATAAATCAGGTGTAATTGTTGTTGTATAATGAAGCTTCATGGCTGGTCAGAATAAAATCCACATGCCTAACTGTACGTTGAGAAGTGGAGGCCTAACATGGTGCTAATTCATGAATTTCGTAACGGACATAATCCTGCTTTGTTCTCTGCAATTGAGCATATTATGCGTTGTAGTGCGCTCTCCACTGGCTAACTACGTGGACCACTTGATACACTGTAAAGAAAGCGCAATGCCCTAGACATTAGCTTATTCCGCTTTCTAGCTAATGCGCACATGCACGTAGCTGTAGGCTGTGCGTCTGTTGCTGGTGGTGGTTTGACTGTTAGGACTGATTCATCTCATCCATTGGTGTTGCAGCAGAAAGGCTACTTTCGATAGGACCAAAGGCTTGAATAAATGTGTGCTTCTCGTGCGTTGACAATATAATGGTTGACCCATTGTATTAGATGCCCAGTATGTTCCACTTCAGGGCTTCAGATCAGCTTTAATGTTGTAATTTTGTTGAAATCTGGAACCGCATGGCCCTAATGGACAACGAGTAGTCAAAATATTAAAGCCAACTTTTTAACCTGCCATGCATGTATTATTATCTTCAAATTTAACCAGCAATGTGTGAGATCATTTATTTCATATATGAAATAAATGATACATGTTTCGATACAGAAGTCTTAAGTGGAAAGACATTTCCAAGAGAAACATGTTACTCATTGTAAGAACTTGATAACCCATACCTGAAGAAGTTAAACATGTTTTACTTCTTTTCGACATTCAAATATACAAGAACCTAATCCATCTTATAATAATTTTCAGAAATCATGTAGCCAATTGATGGAAGAATGTGAGAGTATTAATCATAATAAGTGAATATAAGTCAATATGAATATGATATAATCATTGTAATCAATACAACATGAACAAAATTTTGAATCTAGTATTTTTCATTTGAATAAAATAAGTACAAGTAAAAAATCTAGTATATCCATTTTAATGGATCATTGAAACTTTAGATCATATTCAAGCAAAAAAAAGGGTGATTTGAAAAAACTGATAAAAAATTCTATAAATGTTAAAATAAAAGAGTTTTATGAGTTATAAATTGAAAGGTTATAAGATGTTAAAAATTTATATGAATGAAAAATAACAACAAAACTCTTTTCTTTTCTTCTTTTTTCCTTCTTTTCATAATAGGTCAAAGATTTTGGCCTCGACGTTTTGCATAGACCCATAGCCTTCAGCTTGACTTTGACTTGTCTCTCCGAAAAAAAATAGTAACCATATAGGTTAGATCATATTTCATTATCTTATGAACTCCTCCGGACTTCATGGCCGTAATTTTGTTCAGTCAAACATTTGTCACTTGTAACATATGCAAGAATAATTTCACTTATGTGAACACATCACATATCAAGGTGAATGAGTCAGTAATATTTCAATGTCAATGAAAATTAAGCTATGAACAAAAAAATGTTTCATACAAACACACAAATCTTAAAATCTCATACTCTCACTCCTCTTATTGATGAAAATTGGCCCATCATTTAAAGTGATCCTATAATCTTCTTGCTCCTCACTCTGCGTAGCATGACACTTGTCAACGAGGTGAAAATTCTCACTAATTCTCTACAGTTTGTTAATTTTAGCAGGATTCAAGGCTTGACTGGATGCTTTGATGGGCTCCACGATTCTTCGATCTTGGTGGGAATCTATTGTTATCTGCCCTTCTCTCCAAGTATGCAGGTTAAGCAAGTTTGTTGTGCAAGTTTTCGTCTTTCTTCTAACATTCTTCTGCTCCTATGTACCTTCGTACATCAAAGTCCATATGGGCTTTAATCACAGTTGACATGGTGATCATTCCCCTTCATTAATTTTCACTTCCAACGCGATGTTGTGAAGAGTCACGTAGTCTTGTGTCAACTCTCTTGGCACAATTGTGCTTGCAATCGTTGAGATTCGTTGAAAAGGTTTATGATATTAAGTATGCTTGTTATGAGTCGCATAAAATATGTAACCATACATGCCTCACAAAATGTGAGTATTGTTTGAGTCATCGCAAACTTTTACATTGTGCCTCTAGCCCGCCATGGTGCCAAACTCTGAATCGTGAAACAGACTCACCGCTACTTCACGTTTTTCACAGTCAATAAAATCCAGCGTCTAAACTTTAATGCTTCCTATAGATCTTCAATCGGTAGGGTGTCATAATTATCATTCTTGATGAACAAAATTTGATCAAAGCAGCAAACACATCAAGCGTATACATGAGAGATCAAGCGTCTTGACCTTGCATGGTAGTAAAATTACCTTGGAAGCAATGAGGACGGAACCAACGAACTCCATCGGCCCAAAACAGAGAAAGAGTAGGAAGGGCTAGTCTCTAGATGTTAATTTTAAAGAATCACAATTCTTATGAGCTTTGTTTTGTTCTAAGCTGCAATCCCATACAATCCTGCTGCTTGCTTGATTTAGCATCATACAGTATATCGTTTCTCACAATTTGTGAGCTGCATCAAAAAATTAATCTGCAAATTTCATTGCTCTGATAACAATCCTCGCAGATTTTTCACAAGAATACAAGCACAAATGCTGTGGTAACACACTTTTTGTTTTTTTCGTAGAATTTAAACAATTTTAGAAAAGAAGTACCAAAGCAGTGTCTGTAGTTAGGAATGGTACGATAAATAGAGTGAAGTGAGGAGAGCGCGGGTCACGAAGAATCGCGGAGATGGGCGTACCAGCGCCAAACGCCTTCGGCGCCTTCGGCAAGATCTCCTTTGCTGAGGTGTCTTTACCCACGCGCCTCCAGCGCTTAGGGAAGGTACGCTTCCGGCACAGACACCTCCGGAGGAGATGTCGCTGAAGACGTCAGAAGCCGGCAAGGACCTCTGAATGCTTCCAACCATGAGTGCGCCTTCGGCGATGCGCCGTTGGTGCGGGAGAGAAACCTTCATAACGATCAGGATTCACGGTAGTTCTAATTGGTTGAGGTCTCATTGAAAAGAGCTCGGGACGCTCGTTCTAACGAGCCCAAGAGCGCCGGAGATGGATCAGGGACGAGGAAGTTATGAGCGTCAGTAAACTCGCATCCGGCGATGCGCAGTTCGCGCTAGG